GGACCGTGGCAGCCTGCGGCAACGCACGGGAGCAGAAGGTCCACAGTGTGCTGCAGTGGGTGCCCGGGGTCAGCACGTACTACAACGTGGGCACCAGCATGTACTACGCCTTCCGGAACTGCACCGAGCTGGCCCAGGACCGGGGCCTCGAGGCCGCCATGGATCTGGGCTACGACGCCCTCTTGGGGCTGACGGGCGGGATGGGGAGCCCCATGGCCGTGGGGGTGGCCTTGGGGCTGAGGCCAGCATTCAAAGTGGGCGTGCGGTCTCTGATCAGCTACTTCCGGGCCCCCGACCCTGCACCCCTGTCTGCAGCCGGATGTGAGACTCAGCCAAGCTGCAGAACAGAAGGTTGATTTGCTTCCCAGAGATACAGGGCAGCGCAGGCTCGACACTGACACAGGAGCCAGGGCAGAGCCTCGTCCTCTCGGGGCAAAGGGGTTCACAGGCCCTGGATTTAGTCTGCTTCCTTCATGCTTCCCTCGGCCAAGCCTGCCCAAACCTCCAGCAACTCAGCCCCCCGGCAGCCGCACCCTTTGCTTTGTTTCAGGTTCCACTACCTAGCCCAGGTGTCAGGGTGCTGGGGGATGGGGACACCCACGCAGAGCGTGTACAGCACACCCCACTACTCACACCAGCGCAGTGCCTGGGCTCTGGGGCCAGCTGGCTAGGGTGGAAACATCTGCCCAGCTGCAATGACGGATTATTGGAGAGACCCATCCCCAGGCGGAGGAACCCAGCTGCTCCCCGGAGCCGTGTCACCCTCCCATGAGCAGCGTGGGCTGGGGCCTGGCCCAGAAGGGGGAGGAAGATTAGAGAACCGTGCAGCACCAGCCTGGGCAGAGAGGAGCCCCTGCAGCTCTGCATAGGGCCATGCGGGGCTGGGCCTGGCATCCCCCTTTGGCCGGGCTGCATCCTCGCAGGTCCCTGGGGCGGGGGGGGGGACGACACTGCTGGTACTGCAGGAGCTGATTCATTGCCCAAAGACCATGCCTGCCCCTCCTCTGCAGGGCCAGGGAG